ACAGCGGCCTGCCAGATCATCAAAAGAGGTAATGGAGCACCCGGGCATGAAAGCCACTACTTCAGGCAAAATCATGCATTGTTGCAGTTTTCTCCACCCTTTTAAAAGTAATGAAATTTTTCGAGTTGATCGTAAATGTTTTCAGAATGATTCGTCATGTTGGCGAACATGTAACGGTCTCTCGATACCCATAGCAAACAGCAATATACCAGACGACGTGGTGTATTCCTTCACACCATCATCAGCCATTAATATGTCATGGAGCGATTTCGAAAACTCTATTTATTTGCTCCAATATTCGATGGACGAAAATTTCACAATTCAAAATCAGCTTGTTAGTATTTTGAATAAAATGGTGTCAGTGACCTCAATTAATTTGAGAAACTCCTATTTCAGTCCGGAAGAACTCAATTATCAGTTATTTTTAGCGATGCTTGAACGATCTGATGAAGCAAACAAAATTTTCGAGTTGCCCTATGGATAGCGGCCATTTTCATAACGTAAAAATTACGATCTACAGTCGATCGTCTCTTCTATACTTTCATGCCTATCTCATAATGAAATGACATATACATCAAAATCCAATGTTAAATCCAATAATGTTTGATAAGAAATCCCTCCAACAACTCAGTTGAATGNTTATTGAAGAATTGCCCGATTGAGCACAGCATCGAGTTCAAGCTTTTAATATACGCCATTCCAAATTTCTCATATGAGTGCTCACTTATCCGCTAAGCATTTGGCATTGAGAAGTTTCAAAGAATGAAATTACGGGAGATTATGGAATAATGCTTACAGATACTGGAACAGCCGTACATTTTGAACTGGGCAAAAAATATTGGTGCATTTTGTGATGAAGTATTGATACGACTCGCATCGGTTACTGCGAATGGAGTGAGTCGATTCAGTGAGCCGTATGTGATCGAACGACCAGTTCCACAACTCAATTCTGCACTCAGCGTTGAGTCAATGACATATTTAGTGAGTTCGATTCACTTTCGACGAAGAGAGTCCGCTTATGCGCACATATTCATTTGGTGGATCCACATCTACATAAATGCAGTTATTCGTCATCATCTGCAGCCTTAATTCGTTTGCGTTTTCGGAAATGTTCACCATTATTTGTTGGAGACATCAAATGAAATTTCTTGGAAATTTTTTGCAGGATGTGCCATACGACGATCGATCGTACCAATCAAATGGGACCGTAAAACTGGTTATGAGATTCGAAAGAACAGGTGCCTAATATGGATCGAATTTATGAATGTGCTCTCTTCAAGAAATTTTCAACTGTTTAACAAACACTTATAAATACAACTTCAGAATGGCCTCTTGGAGTGAGCGATTTGGATGTGGTACCATTATTTCATATGATCAACTGTGAGGTTCCTGATCTCTCAGCCGCCAT